CCCTTCTCCTGCTTTTCGCTTTTTGGGATTTGGAGCATGCACACATGTGCCCAGCATGTTCCTCAAGTTAACTGCACAATTGTGGGATATAGTCACTTTAACCACCAGTGGCTGGCTGGCCCAGAACAGTGGTAGTTCTTACTGAATAACTTTACAAATCTTATCTATATGGAAGAACACTAAAGTAAATTGGAGTTTATCATTGCTAAAGAGGCAATATTTACTTTTAGAAGAGAGGGGTGCTTGGTGTTTTATGTTTATCCTACAGGCTTATTTTTGTCTGTGGTTAAACAAGATTAATTGCTCATATTTTGTGTCACTTCATCACAGTGGCAAAGTTACCTTGTATGATGATGGTGTTCTGTGACACTGTTTATGTACAATAGGAGACTAACATGGTCCAGCTGTGAGAATCAGGTCAGCGTCTACCATCCCCGAAACCTCGCTAACAGAACCAAGCAAGCTGTTAACTGTCCCACATGTCAAGGGCTATGTTTTCCTCCCAAATCCCAAAATAGAATGTATTAAGAATTATGTTTGAAAAAAGACAGAAAATGGGTATAAATACCAGATACAGTGTGTGTGTGAAAGAGTACGGTCTGAGGAAGTACATTTAGAAGAAAAATAGGGAAGCGAAGCATTAATGGGACAAAGAAATGTGCTATATCTGTTGAAGACATTTTATAGTTTTATCAACTGGACTAGGGAGAAATGTTGAAACATTCACTTTGTAAGTTAAATAATGTGATTGAATGTATAAAAGAAAATGAAACAAACAAAGGTCGGAAGTAAAAAAAATAAAGAATGTAAAAGAAATAACAAATCCTGCTTTAATCACTTCTGACATTTCCAAATAAATGAGAGCATATAATTTAAGAACAACAGTTAACAACTATCATTCCATAACATTTACTAAGACTAAATGATCAACATTAAAACCTGTTTACTTGTAGTTTACATCTTAAATTTTTCTCCATGTGACAGTAGAGAATGTGACCATGTAACTGGATATTGACTAGCCCAACTCCGTGTTGAGTCACTATTGACTGATTTGGTATTGACAGATTCAGTATTAACTGAAGCAAGAAATCAAGTTTGTTAAGAATTTAAAGCACAGAAAGAGAACACTTTATTTTTAATCTTTTTTTTTTTTGATTGGCTTCTTTTACTAAGCATAATATTTCCTTTTTCTTTCTTGAGGGGGTGGTCTTTTGCTATAGGGTACATGTACTAGCTATGGAGAAAGACAGAGAGACAGAGACAGTGAGATGGTCATGCCACAATCTCTTCTCCTCCACTCTCCTCTCAAGATTTTGAGCATGCATGGACACATGCCCAGTGTGAGTTTCAAGCCACTGGGTCCAGCACTCAAACCACAGTCAGCCATATGGGAGTTGAGTGATGTGACCACTATACCACCTACTGGCCCCAAGCATAATGTTTTCAATGTTCATTCATGTTGTAGCCTGCACCAATACATCATTATTTATCATTGCTAGATAGTATCCCCCTTTATAGTTATGTCACATTTTGTTTACCCATTAATTGGATGAGTTTTTGTTTTCCCTTTTTTTTTTTTCATTTTGGAGCTACTGCAAATAACAGTGCTAAAAGCATTCTTATACATTTTTTTGTGTATATGTTTTAATTTTTCTTGAATATTTTACATAGGAGTAGAATCACTAGATTTTTCTGATAACTGAATGTTTGACATTGTGATAAACTTTCAAACTGTCTAAACCAATTTATATTCTCACTAATGAAATATGAGTTCCAATTTCTAAACATCCTGACTAGCATTCAGTCTTTTTGACTACAGTTATTAGGTACTGGGAAATGGTATCTCATCTCTGTGTAATTTGTATTTTTTCCATGAGTAAACATGTTGATCATAACAGTAAATTATCATCTTATAATAATTTGTCCTTTGATTATTTGTTTGTTTTAAGAGAGATTTTTGCTACAGTGCGTGTGTGCTCGCTGGAGAGACAAAGACAGAAAATGAGAAATCACCTCCCCAGGGGGGATGGCCATGCTGCAATCCCTTCTCCTCCATTCTTTTTGTGATTTTGGGCATGCACACACATGCACCTGGTATGAATTTAAAGTCACCAGGTCTGGGACTTGAACTGTGGTCAACTACGTGGGAGCCTAGTGCCATAACCATTACGCAATCTGCTGGTCCCAGTATTTTTTTTTTTAAAATAAGGTTTTTGCTATAGGGTGTGTGCACTTTCCAGAGAGAGAGAGACAGGGAGAGAGAAAGAGAGAAATCACCCCCCAGGGAGGATGGCCACATCACAATCACTTCTCTTCCATTCTCCTCTCCAGATTTTGGGCATGCATGCACA